TGACTAGAAAATCTTTTCCTAACCCTTTATTCTGAGGTAATATCTGTATTTGAAGTTGAAGTTTCTTGTATGCCACAGGTCAACTCCTGTTTTCGTACCCATTCCATTAGCCTGTGTCTTTTTATAAGTGAACTGAGTCCACTGATATTAAGAGATATTAATGATCAGTGATTGTTAACTCCTTTTATTTTGGTGGTAGTATGTGTTCCCCTTCTTTGGGATTTGCTGGAGTGGGATTATCTATTGCCTGTGTTTTTATGGGTGCAGCCAACTTCCTTGGGTTGGAGTTTTCCTTCATGAGCTTTCCGTAGGACTTGATGTGTGGATGCATATTGTTTAAACCTGGTTATGTTATGGAATATCGTTTTCTCCATCTATGGAGATTGAAAGTTTCACTAGGTATAGTAGTCTTACTGGCATCCGTGGTCTCTTAGTGTCTGCATAATATCTGTCCAGGACCTTCTGGTTTTCAGAGTTAGGTATTATTCTGATGGGTTTGCCTTTATATGTTACTTGGCCTTTTCCTTTGTAGCTCTTAATATTCTTCATCTGTATGCTTTGTGTTTTGACTATTATGTTGTGAAAGATTTTTGGTTCAGTCTATTTGGTTTTCTGTAAATTTCTTGTATCTTTATAGGCATGCCTTTCTTTAGGTTGGAAAAGTTTTCTAGTATGATTTTGTTGAATATATTTTATGTGCTTTTTGAGTTGAACTTTCCCTTCTATACCTATTGTTCTTAGGTTTGGTCTTTTCATGGTGTCCCACATTTCCTGGATATAGTGGGTTAAGCTTTTGTTAGATTTAATGTTTTCTTTGACTGATGATTCTGTTTGCTCTATTGTATCTTCAGCACTTGAGTTTCTTCCATTGCTTGTATTCTGCTGTTTATGCTTGCATTTGCGGTTCTGGATCATTTTCTCACGATTTCTGCTTCTATAAGTTATTTATTTTAGTTTGAAGTCTATTTTTTCATTTTTTCTTTCATTTTATTATCTCTATTTCAGTTTTCAAGTCTTGAATAGCTCCTTTCAGATGTTTTTCTTGGTTTTCTTTAAGGGATTTGTTGATGCCTTCCAATTTTTGTTTGTCTTTTCCTCCATTTCTTTGAGGGAATTTCTCATTTCCTCTTTAAGCATCTGAAATATTCTCCTGAAGTTATTTTTTTAGGTCATTTTCTTCTGCTTCATTGATACTTGGTTGTTCAAGTCTTGTTGTAGGGTCACTAGATTTACTGGTGTCGTGTTGTTCTTTGTTGTGTTTGTTGCCTGTGTTCTTACCTTGGCTACTCATCTTTTCCTCTAATTGGTGTAGTCGGGGCTGTCTGTGACTCTGGTGATTAATCTTCCAGGTTCCAGTGGATCCAAGGCTCAGATGGTTGTTCCTCATGGTGCAGTCAGTCAGTGCTATGGTTCCAGTTACTCATTGGTCACTCTGTGTTCCTGGAGGTGGCTAAGTGCTCCCGGGGTGTGCACCACTCCCGTGGAGTTTGCTCTTGTGGAGTTCTTTGCTGTCCCAGGCCTGCTCTTAGCTAGGTTTCTGCCTCGGTCCTGTTCCTGTTGAATTCACTGCCTCAGGCCTGCTCTGGTCAAGGTGTCTGGCTCAGTCCTGCTCCTGTGGAGTTCAGCCTTTCCAGGTTCACTCCAGTACAGGTCAGTGTCTCAGTCCTGCCCCTGTGGGGTTCACTCACTCAGGACTGCTCTGGCCTAGGTTGTTGGCTCAGATCTGTTTCTGTTAAGTGTCCTTGATCTGGGTCTGCTCCTGCAGAAGTCCCTGGCTTGGGGTTGGTCCTGCAAAGGTCTCTGGCTCTGATCTATTCCCACAGAGGTCCCAGACCTGTGTGCACTTGAACCTACAGAGGACCTGGCTCAGGCCTACTACCTTGGAGGTCCCAGACCAATGCCTAGAACTGCAGAGATCCCAGGATCAGGTCCACTCCTTCAGAGGTCCCAGACTTATGCCTGGACCTGCAGAGGTCTCAGGTTTCTGCCTCCTCCCTTGAAGGTCCCAGACCCATGGCCAGACCCAGAGAGGTCCTGGCTCAGGCCTAGTTCCTTGGAGGTCCCAGTCTCACGTTTGGATCAGCAGAGGTCCTGGCTCAGGTATACTCCCTTGAAGGTCCCAGATTTATGCCCAGACTTGCAGAGGTCTCTGGCCCTGATCCACTCATCCAGTGGTTGCTCCCCTATACCTGCTCCTGTGGAGTTTACTGTCTCAGGTCTACTCCAGCCCAGGTTGCTGGCTCAGTCCTGCTCTTGTGGAGTTTGCTGCCTCAGGCCTGCTCTCTACAAATTGTTTCTGAATTAGTTGTATCACCAGGGCAGGCTTGGCTTTTCCAACAGCTCCAACTCCTAAGAACTTCTATTCAGTGAATTGGAGCCGGCCTCTCTCTGCTCCTCCATGCCTCGGCTTCCATCATCACCTTCAGGCCCATGTGGCCCCCTCAGGTCCTGAAATTCTGAGGGAGCAGGCCCAGGCCTAGCCACCAAGGTTTTCCTCAGTCATCTCAGCTGCCACCAATTCTTTCTTCTATGAGTTACCTTGGTCTTATCACAGCAATAGAAAAATAACCAATACTGAAGTTGGTACCAGAGAGTGGGGTATTAATAGCTGCTGACAGACGTAAGCTGGTAATCTTGGTTTGGTTTGGTCTGGTCTGGTTGGTTGGTTGGTTGTTCTTTTACTTTTTTGATGTGGAAGACTTTGGGACTTTTGAAAACTGGTTAAATGCTGTATGTAGTGCTTAATGGGCCCAACTAAGATAGAGAACAAAGATGGTAGTGCCAAGAACTAAATACACATCCACTGATGTTGGAGTTCTAAATGGGTTTGGTCACTTGGAAATTACTGAGGAGAATCCTCAAAAAATAAAAAAAAATATCTACCAGATGACCCAGCTATACCAATCCATGGCATGTGCCCAAAGAACTTATCATATGCTCTACAGATGTTTTCTCAGGCATGCTCATTGCTGCCCTATTCATAATAGCTAGAAAATGACAACTACCAAGGGTCCTACAACTGACAAATTGATATGAAAACGTGATCCATGTGCTCTATGGAATACTACTCAGCTATAAAGAAAACTGACATCACATACTTTGCAGGTAAATGGATGGAACTAGAAAAGATCCTACTGAGTGTGGTAACAGACACAGAAAAAATATATTACATGTTTTCTCTTATTGGAGGCTCCTAGGTCCAAACTTTCACATGTGAGTACATGTTCTATTAAATAAAATAGAGCTAATTACCAGGATAGGGTGGATGTCTCCTTCACAAGAAGGTTGTTGGGGAGCCAAAGAGAGGGTAATGTCAGGGTAAGAGTGACCATAAAGGAGATAAAGAAAGGGTTGCTGATTAGAGAGGGAGAGGGAGATAAATACAGAGAGGAGGGCAAAGGAAAATAGAATACTAGATATCTAGTAGCAGAAATGTGAAACATGGGGTTCTTAGAGAAGGGGAGAAGAGGAGAAGGAGGGAGGTTGGTTAATCAACCATAAGAATGTTTCAAAAATCCACAAAGAATCATACGATTAACTATTTATCTAAACACACACACACACACACACACACACACACACACAAATATACATGTTAGTCAGTATGTATAGAGATAGTGTTAGTGAGATTTTATCATATGCAAAGGCAGTCCTCCCCTGAGAACCAAAGGCCACGTAGCTAAGGCACCAGTGCCAGATGTGAGAAGCTGTATTTGAGTTGTTGGTCAGAGCTCTCAAGAGACTCTTAAAACATACAGCCTAGTGATGTTGCCCTTTGTTCCCGCCCAGAGTGTAATTCCCTATTGATGAAGACACCAAACTCTTCAGAAAAAGATCCCTGAGACCTGTTAACTGAACTGACCTGAACATTCCCTTTCTGCAGTCTAACTTCCATGGTCATGCAAGCTTCACAGGGAGGAGACAACCTACACAATCTTAACCCAGCTTGATACCTATGAACTCTCAACAATAACCAGCAGGGTATGATAACCCTACAAACTCACTATTGACAAACATAGCTTAGTGCTAACCACAACCTCTCCAATTGATTTTAAGACCCATACGTCAAAAGGAATACCATACCTTATAGGGGAAAACTACCTAACTACTCAATCCTAGAGAAATTATGGTTATTATAGGAAACTGTACAGCGGCTAAACCAGAATAATCTGTAACAACTATAAACATGAATTTATACTCACTGATTATAGTCATCATCCTTCATCAATGAACTTCCCTTTGCAACAGATGGAGACCACTACAAAAAACCACAATCAATCAAACCACAGGGTTGTGTAGTCCACACTCCCACACCCCAGTGAAAGTTGAGTAAGAGAAGGTGGAAAGATTGTAAGGGACAGAGAGTCAGGGAGGACAGAGAGTCAGGTAGTACAGAGAATCAGGGAGTTTGCTGTGAGACTGCGCCTCCAAGTAATAACAGAAGCATTTCCCCATAATGTCTCACCAACATGTATGGGCTAGCAAAAACCCAAAGACTCAACCCTAAATGAAAACACCTCAACCAAAGAATGATGAGGGTAGGAGAAATAGTCTTCCTCATGAGGAGCACACACTTATTATTGGCGACCCAAAACCAATGGTCAAACCTAAAAACATGCATACAAGAAAGATTATATAGTCTGAGCAGGTTGTGTTTATGTATGTAGAAATATATATGTACATAAATGAATGTGTGCAGGAGTGAGAAAAGAGGCCATGGTTTGAAAGAGAACAAGGCAGGGTACATGGGAGGATGAATTAAGGGTAAGGGAAAGTGATGTAAGTATAATCTCAAGAAATAATTTTTTTAAAAATCACAAGGCTAGGCCGTGGCCGCGCTTCGCTGGCTTCTAGGCTTAACTGGGGTGGCAGTGGTTGCCTGCCTCGGCCTGGGAGCTGCTCCCCAGCTCCCCGAGCTCTGGCCCCGGCGGCCGGGGCATGGGCCAGGGGCGCGGCGTGAGGCGGCTTTCTGCAAGGCCGTGATGTGCACCGACTTCAGCATGAAGACCCTCATTGCCGCCTACTCCGGAGTCCTGCGGGGTGAGCATCGGGCCGAAGCTGCCCGTAGAGAGAACAAGAATGGAGGATCTGCCCTGTCACGCGAGGGGTCTGGGCGATGGGGCACTGGCTCCAGCATCCTCTCGGCCCTCCAAGACATCTTTTCTGTCTCCTGGCTCAACAGGTCCAAGGTGGAAAAGCAGCTCCAGGTCATCTCAGTCCTACAGTGGGTCCTGTCCTTCCTGGTGCTAGGAGTGGCTTGCAGTGTTATTCTCATGTACACCTTCTGCACCGACTGCTGGCTGTTAGCTGTGCTCTACTTCACCTGGCTGGCCTTTGACTGGAACACGCCCAAGAAAGGTGGCAGGAGATCGCAGTGGGTGAGGAACTGGACCGTGTGGCGCTATTTCCGAGACTACTTTCCCATCCAGCTGGTGAAGACGCACAACCTGCTGACCACCAGGAACTATATCTTTGGGTACCATCCCCATGGCATCATGGGCCTGGGTGCCTTCTGCAACTTCAGCACGGAGGTGACCGAAGTTAGCAAGAAGTTTCCCGGCATAAGGCCCTACTTGGCCAAGTTGGCTGGCAACTTCCGGATGCCTGTCCTTCGGGAGTACTTGATGTCTGGAGGCATCTGCCCTGTCAACCGAGACACCATAGACTACTTGCTTTCAAAGAACGGGAGTGGCAATGCTATCATCATCGTGGTGGGAGGTGCAGCCGAGTCCCTGAGTTCCATGCCTGGTAAGAACACAGTCACTCTGCGGAACTGCAAGGGCTTTGTAAAATTGGCCCTGCGCCATGGAGCTGATCTGGTTCCCACCTATTCCTTTGGAGAGAATGAGGTGTACAAGCAGGTGATCTTTGAGGAAGGCTCCTGGGGCCGCTGGGTCCAGAAGAAGTTCCAGAAGTATATTGGTTTCGCCCCGTGCATCTTCCATGGCCGAGGCCTCTTCTCCTCTGACACCTGGGGGCTGGTGCCCTACTCCAAGCCTATCACCACTGTTGTGGGTGAGCCCATCACCGTCCCCAAGCTGGAGTACCCGACCCAGAAGGACATCGACATGTACCACGCCATGTACATGAAGGCCCTGGTGAAGCTCTTTGACAATCACAAGACCAAATTCAGCCTTCCGGAGACGGAGGTGCTGGACCCAGTCCGTGGGGTCCAGCTCCTGGAAGGAGCGACTGCGAATCCTTTTCTACCAAGTTCTCTAGTGCATCTTGTTCTGTAAATTTGGAAGCGTCATGGGTGTCTGTGGGTTATTTAAAATAAATTATAATTTGTTAAACCATTGCCATGTTAGATCTTTTGTAAGAATGGGCGAGTCAGTATTTTAAGTTCTCACATCTAGTATGTCCTGCACAAGGTGGTGGCTGACATTTCTGGGCCTTGATGGTTTCTTATCCACCCCCCTCTAGGGTTCCCCAAACAACAGACAGCTGGCCCTGCTGAACTGGGGAAGGACAATCCTTATGACTTGGCCACTTAGATAATCCTCTTTTCTCCAGGGATTCTCGAGAGGCAGAAGCCGTGTTTAGCAAACATCTCCATTCCCACCACCCTACATGTGACTGAAGGTCTGGTTCTTCTTGCCAAGGGGAAGATGCAGGGAACAGAGTTGACCCCCTTTGGGGAAGGTGGCAGATAGCATCTGGAGTCTCCTCTCTGCTCCTCACCCTACCCCTTTTCTCCAATCTGAGCCTATGCTGGCCTATATACTGTGCTAGGGACAAGGATGTCCCACAGGTACTGTCTTGGGTTATCTCGCTGCTGTTGGCTGGTTTTACTCTGAAGGCTGGCACCGTAGATTCAGCACAGCTCAGCCGTGGCTTGGAACATGTTCTCTAAGCCGCCTGAGCTCTCCTGACCCCAAGTCTGGTGTGAGGAAGGGTCTCTCTTCGGTTCAAAAAGGGGCCTGGCTTTCGGTGTAGCACACTGGGTCCAGGACAGGAGGCCCCGTACCCAAGCCTCACATGTGTGCCTTCCTGAGGCATTGGGCCAGGGAAGAGAGCCACCCCCCTCCTGTGTATTCTGTTTTCTTTCCATGAGATTGTTGTGCCATGTCACACTTTTGTATATTCCTAGACTAATAAACGGAAACAAGAACAAAAAAAAATCACAAGGCTAGATAGTTCTGAAATCTATGAACCAGGAAACCCTAATAAAAGGGGTAAATTCTAGATATATCTGGGTCAGAGAAATTAAACCAATAGATCCAAAACGTAAACAGACCTTTAGAAAAAAATTGAGAACTAATCAACTGACGACATAAGCCGTCCTTTAAATCCCAGTTTATAGAGAATAGGGCACATCTGCTTCCTTCCCAAGCAGCTTAGAGTGTTGTAATCCAGAAATTTTATTTATTTAAATTGTGAAAAATATGGTGTATCCCTTTATAATCTGACTGGTAGCATGGACATTATCTGTGGTAATAGAGTTGGTTGCTCACTCCTGGACTCTTAAAATGATTAAGTCCTAAAAATCACTCACCCAGAAAAAAATACTACAACATGAAGGATATGAAAACCTACTAAACCCTTTAAAACATCTGCAGAGCAGCAGCGTGGAGCTCATGGGGACCAGCAGGGCTGTAGCTTGAATGACTGATCTCTACCTCCAAGGAGCTCGGCCACCACCGAGCATATTCTGTCTCCGAGAAGCTCATCATGATTAGAAAACAACTCTGTGTCCAAACAGAAATCAAACAAAAAAGCGCTCTCATCTGCAGGATTCAGGATCCTACATGGCCCCCAGTAGTGAGTGCCACTCCTCTGGCATGCCATGGCAACAGTGAACACACAAGAAGGGATACAGGTTACTGATACCAGGCTGCCTGTCCCACTAGAGCCCTCCACAAGGAACCAGAGACAAGGACGGCACAGGGTGCTGCAGCAGGACGTGTGCTTTATTGTGGGAGATATGAGGAACATCGGTGGGCAGCAGAAGCTGGGCTTTGTTCCTGGTCCTTACCACACAGCCCTTGACCTCCATAATAAATAGGGACAGACTCTGCACAGGAGGCCCCTCCAGCCCCGGAACAGGAGCCTACTGTGTAAGGGGCCTCATGCCATCCTGGCACTGAATCCGTCCCAGTGGTGGTGGTCATGGGCATCTCCATTCTTGCCAGGCAGCTTCCGAGCAGGCTGATGAGGCTTCTGCCATCCTAGCACTTGTCCCCATCCTTCTGCTCTGAGGAGCCCACGAGGCTGCTCAGCTTGTTCCCAGGTTGCCCTCTCTGGAGGAGGTCTGCTTTGGCAGCTCCCCTGTCCAGGTACCCTTTGTACATGGGGTCCCCATGTAGGGAAGCAGGTGGTGCTCACTGTGAACACAGTCAGCTTGTCCACAGCCAGCAGCAGAAACCAGATGAAATTGAGCAAGGATTGTAAGAAGGTCCCCTTGATGGACGGGACCTTCTGTGCGCACCTTGTAAAGACCCCCTGGGCACCTTTCTTGTTTTTCAAACAGAGAAACAGTTGTACACAGCCTGGGCCACGAACTCACCCACCCGCTTCAGAAGCCTTGTGTAGTGGAGTACCTGTCCGTCATGTTTGTACAGCCCTTGCCCTCAGTGGGGGGCAGGAAGTAATACTGAGACTTACAGTAGTATTGCAGACCCACAGCATGAGGGGCTGGTGGAAGCTGGGATGGCCCAGTTTTCCAGATCCTCCACTGGACCACTTCAGAGCTCTGGCCACCAACACTACTTACTCTTGCGAATTTAGATCCGTCAAAGTGAACACTGTAGCTGGCTCTACAATTCTCTAACAGTTCATCAGCTATATACACTGTTACCTTCCCCAGGGATTCGAGGATCGGCAGGGTCAGGTCAGCCTGGACTGCTCTGCTGGCCATGACCGAAGAAGAGAAATACTCCTGAGTACCTGAGATCTCAGGATTCTGAGTGTTTGTTTCTGGACATGTATCTGAAGAAGAGCATTCAGTACATCTTGTGTGCCTCGTGGTAGTCACCCTTCTGGATGCTTGCACGCAGTTGCCCTCCATGTGCTGGGGGCATCTTTCTGGGTGATCAAAACCAATACCATGGGCCTCTGCACTGTTCAGAACTGGTGCTGTGGCAGGCGATGTTGGCGGAGCCTCCTTGCTCCCTTCCCTGTGGCCACTACATGCACTCTACCAGAACTGATTTGCTTTTTAGCAGAAGCTACTATTGATGGCTACTTCCCCATCTGCCTGTATCACTGTGGGAAACACTACTTTTCCAGGTAACACAGCAGTGCTGAGTTTCATCCTCCATCTATAGTTCAGAGATGTGCAAATTTGCAAAATTTTTTTGAGGCTTCTCTGGATCCAGAGAATGTAATGGGGATTCTAGGCCCCAGTGACTTGTTTGAGTCTTTGCAGTAGCACAGGAAAACCCTGGGAGGGCTCCCCTGCATCTGCTGGTACCAGTAAATGTTGTTATTGCCAATGCCGATGTCACTCCTCAGGGCACAGAGGAGGAGGGTGTTTCTGTCAATATAGTCCAAGAAAAGGAACCTGCGAAAGCAGAAACCACAGTGAACAGCAGAGTTGAGGTACAGCATTTTGGGGATCTGAACCAGAGGGACTGACTAAGTTTAGAAGTTCTCCCCAGGACTCCTGGGCCTGTCCGTACCTGTACATTGAGATGGAAAAATGAAGAGGAGAGGAGTCCAAGCCATGGCAGGCACAGCACACCTTCTTCTCAGACCGGGGTCTTCTGTCTGGTCTGTCTCATTATCTCATCATCTGGACCCCATAGAAGAAGAGGTGCTAGTCAAGCAAATGAGTTCTCACTAACTCCTCCTAGTGGTTGGTTCAGTGTGGGCTCCTGAAAGAGCAAGCCAGGTGAAGTGAATTACTTTCTCCCATGGAATATAAAGTAGATGGTAAAACACTCAGGCCTGTGTGCAAAGACCTCTTTCAGATCCACAGGAGAGCGAGCAGCTGCTGATTCCTCACAAATTGGAGGACTCAGTCAGCCATGGGCCCCATGTCTGTTAGGGTTACCGCATGTGGACACCTGTCCTGCAGAAACTCCAGAGAGAGACTCAGCACACTCCTGTAAGTCCCAGAGCAGCCATCACTTCCACAGTTGTTCACTATATCAGTGCTGCTGTGGGTTTCAGACTTCCATTTCAGATGCATGAAAGGAAAACTACAGGGAGCATGGCGATGTGTCCTAATGGAGCCATCGCTGATGCATTTCCTGATGAATGTGGACAGGGACAGCACACGGCAGTCAACACAGGAGAGCTTGGGACCCACCCAGGAGCTGAGGATGACAAACCCTGAACAGAGACAATGAGTCTCACAATATGAACAATCTGTTGCCTTTAATGGATCAAGGATGATTAGATCTGTCTTTGTTTTAGAAGAGGAGGCACTTGTTCAGGATGCTGTGTGTGAAAGGGGGTTCATGCAATGAAGCAGGCCTTGATAAACGGTACAGGAGATGACACAGCATGGCCTAGAATGCAGATCAAATACCAACACAGGGTCTGCAGCTGGCAGGCAGAGGGCAGAACCAGGCAATATGCTAAGACGTCATGTGTGGCTTTCAGGCAAATGTGTTAATGTGTTCAAAGAGATACTTTATCAAAATGCTGCCTGTTGTTTCTTCTGACATTAGACACCCTACTCTGATAGATGTTATGGGCTGAACTTGCGCAGAAGGGGCCTTGAAGAATGCATTTGCCCAAGGCTGATACAGTCCAACAGCTGAGAACCAGGGGAGGCTGAAATGGGACAGACCTTGAAGGTGCAGCAGTGATGCAGTAAGCAGGAGTTGCAAAAAGAGGAGATGGTGCAGGGTACAAGATGAGTCGTAGACCGTGACTTAGGAAATGAAGTAGGTTCGAGGGCCCGCTTAGGGGTTAGTTATATATTAACTACATGAGACATGATAATGTGGAAACAGGAGTGTATTCAGGCATAGAGCTTTCCAGAATCATTTTCTGTTAGTAAAATGCACCAAACACAGGCTGATATTTCTATATTTAAGAGAACAATGCCAACTCCATGGGATTCCCTTTAAACAATAGTTTCAATGGGAGGTACTTGGGTTAGTAAACCAATCATAACCTTGATGTCTGTTTTATGGCATCCAGATGTGATGGGCTAAATCCACTTAAAAACCTGAGAGAGCTTAATTTTAAACAAACAAACAAACAAACAAACAAAAAAACCAAAACAGAGTTTAACACAGAGTTTTACTCTTTGTTGGTGGCATGCCATAGAGAGATTTCCTGA